TAGCAATTCTTTCAGAGACAGATTCTCCGTTGTCAGTGAGTCCTTCCTGATTCATAACCACCCTATAGGCCAGAGCAAAGTTTTTTTGTGGGAGCAGATTGCCACATCTTTTCCCATGGAATGGCTAGTGGGTTCAAACTCCCAACCTTTTGATTAGTCACAACTTAACAACTACACCTCTAGGACTTTTTATCCTAGACTGCTGTTGTTTTAAAGTGCTGTCGAGTTGGTTTCATCGTGGCCCTGTATAGATAGCGTTTCTGAGGAGTGGCTAGTGGATTTGAACCACCAACCTTGCAGTTAGCAGTCCAGTGCTTATCAAACTTGGGCATGCATCAGTTTCCTGTTGGTGGTTATGTGCCGTGGAGTCAATTCTGACTCATAGTGATCCTATACAGGGTTTCCAAAGCTGTAAATCTCTATGGGAGCAGAAAGCCTCATTTGTCTCCCTTGGAACCCCTAGTAGTTTTGAACTGCTGACATTGAGATTAGCAGCCTGATTCATAACCACTACACTTCCAGAGCTCCACAGTTTCCTGGAGGGCTTGAAAAAACATTGCTTGGCCCTCCCCCACCCCAGGTGTTTTGATTCAGCAGATTTGGAGACTGTCTGACAAATTCTCAGGTGATGCTGAGGCTGCTGATCTGGGGACTCCTCTATACTGAGAGCCAATGCCCAAATCTTGCTACTGAAAGTATGATCCTCAGGTCCGAAATGTTGGCATAAAATGACATGGACCCCACTTGATTTAGTAGAGGATGAAACAAATGCTCATTAACCGATAAGATTATCAGGCTAGTACAGAATGTTGCACCTCATTCTGTAATGAATGTGATAAACTAAACTCACTGAATCCAGAGCTTGTATTTTACCTAGACCCCCTAGTGATTCCTAGAAACATTAAATTTGTCAATCAAAGACATCTCTTGGAGTGCTGAAAAGTTAGATTCCTTGGCTCTTTTGCAGACTTAGATTCAGAAGGTATTGGGAGGATTCCCAAAATCATCATCAATGACTTTTATGGAGTCCTGGTGTGGCGCTGTAGAACAAAGCACTGTCTTTCCTCAGAAACACAACATAGGGTCGCCATGCGTCAGAACTGACTTGATGCCACTTAACAGCAACAACATAGGAAACCCTGCTCAAACTCTATTCCATTCCATCTCGGTTCTGTGTTCCTTGGACGAGATCAAATCACAAACCCTCTTACTCCAGGATCATAACAAAGTAACAACTCCTCCCCCGGAAACAGGAACTTGGGGAAGGTGGCTCCTCAATGGCCTGCGATGCCGGCAGAGGAAACGGGTGGTTTTGAGAACCACAGTGTCTGCAGATGTGAGCCTGGAGCTTCGAGGACCCGGCACCTTGAAGTAGCTTCTGTGACAGAGCTCAAAGAGCCCTGGACCTTCCCTGGGCCAGCGCTGCTTACACCTGCCCAGTCCGATGATACCTCAGAAGCGTGGGCTTCTTGTTCCATCAGGCTAATGCTGAACAACCAACCCTAAATGATGCCTGGAACTGATCCCTGAAGTTCTTCCTGGCTAAGAGAACTGGGCTACTACAGCTGAGGTCATTAGTAGACTTCAACAAGGTCACCAGCCAAACCATGTGTCTTAGCTGAGCCCTCTCCCCCAGCCTCTGATGATAGGAAGCCAGTAAGTATGTTTGTTTTTCCTTTACGATGGTCTATGGTCTCAGAATGGGTGAGAAAGGATTCCCAGTCAAAGGCCAGGAGTAGATACTGGAGGAGAGGGGTGGACTTTACAGTGGGAAACGAGCTCAAGTTGAAGAGAAGGTGGTTTTGCTGAGGCTGTAAGAAAGATGCTTTCTGGGAGTCCTCAAAGGAGCCAAAGCCTCCTCCCTCCACCTTTGACTGCCTTCTGGAGAAAAACATTATTTCCTCCAGTTTGTCTTCATGTCTACTTCGGCTCCATCTTGGTTACCAGCTTCTTGTGTAACTTTGGGCCACTCTCTGAGCCCCAAAATCAGTAAATGATGCAGGTCTGCATTATAATTTCTGAAGACATGTTCTTTAATGGCAGCTCTAGCATCTAGTCTACAATTCCTCTCAAAAGGGTGATGTTACTCAGTTAAAAGAGAAGGGAAGGTCCCTTTTAATTGAGTCCAAATCACTCTTACCCCCACCCCTGAAAAATATGGATTGTAGGGTTGCTACTTTAACTAACCAACTAGCAGAACATTGTTATCCTCTCTGGACCTTGATCATTGTATCTGGAACAGGAGCCAAACCCTGCCCAGTCTCTCCAGGGATTCTAAGGCTCAAATGAGACCAGCAGAAAAATCATTATGGCCAGCATGCTGTTCCCAACGGCCTTTTTACTAACTCCTTGTACACATTAGCCTGGTCTTTGTTGGGTGCTGTTGAGTTGATTCCCCGGGTGACATTAGAGTGGCCGCCTGTAGGACCCTAGGCTCTTCTCTTTTCAGAAGCAGATTGCCAGGTTTCAGTTAGCAGCTGAGTACCACCATGGCTCCTTTGCACTGACCTTAGGAGCCCTGGTAACGTAGTGGATTACAAGCTAGCGGGGCTGCTAACCACAAGTTCAGCAGTTCAAATCTACCAGTCACTCCACAGGAGAAAGATGAGGCTTTCTGCTCTGGTGAAAATGTACAGCCTTGGAAACCCTACATAGGATCACTCTGAGTCCGAACTGACATGTTGAGACACAACCACCACCATCAAGGCCCCTAGAAAGTTTCCAGCATGTGGTGGTGGTGGTGGTGGTTAAGTGCCATCAAGTCAGCTCTAACTCAGTGGCCCTGTGTAGGGTTTCTGAGGAGTGATTGGTGGGTTTGAACCTCCAACCTTGTGGTTAGCAGTCCTGTATTTATCCTACAGCACCGCACCAGGGCTCCTAGCACATGATACATTGCTCACATAGTTGTGATTTTGTCTTTTAAAATATTTTAGCTAATACTTTCTCCTCCTAGGTCTTAACAACCTTCGTTTTTCCTCCTTACACTTTTCCCTGGCCTTGAGCAGACCAGATAAAGGGGGGAAGTGGGTGCTTCCATCCCAGGTGCAGCTCTCCCATCCCCCAACTCCACCTGCAGTGTGAAAATGTCTCTGGGTTTACTGCAGTTGGTGATTGTGGTGACTTCGCTCTGCTGGTTGCTGACGCAAAGAAAAGGAAACTAACCTTTACAGAGCACCCACTCTGCCCCAGGCTGTCATTCTCCCCTCCACCCTGTGGAGTCCCTATTATCATCCCTAACTCTGGAAGACACTCTGGAAGTTCCATGCATTGCCTGAGATCACACAGTCAGAGTAAGCACACACAATGGGAGAGGACAGGCTAGAGGGCAGGAGGGATATTGAAAACCTGAGCTGAAAGAGTGCTGTAGCAGGAAAGGAACCCCAAAGCTTGGGAGGTCACAGCACCATCTGTCTGAGGGATCCCAAAAGTCTGAGCGGGAAGTGGCTGCCAGGAGCCGTTTCTTTGTGTTAAAGAGCAGCTGTCTCCCTGAATACTGAACTCCCGGTGATGTGGGGAGGCAGCAGCAAACCCATGTTGATGGCATGAGACTGAAGGCCAGAGAGGGTCATCACCTTGCACAGACAGGGATTATCCTATCCTCTAAGACAGCACTGCCTCCCAGGGACCCTTACTGCCCAGATATGACTGGCCCATTAATTAGGCCATGGAAGTTCCTTGATGATACTCATGGACACTCACATGGCTCAGTGCTGGGTCCAATAGTGAAGGCGCCACTCTGCCAGTCCCTGAGCTCCTCCAGGGCAGGCCCCTAACTTCTTCCCTCCAGATCCCCAGCCTCCAGCCTGCACAGCTTAGGGTCTCAATGCATACGAGCTGAATGGAAGCTTGTCTGCCCTAAAAAGATGAAAACTGTCTGAAAAGAAATTCAGCTCTTGCCCTATGCCCCACAAAAAAAGCAAACCACCATTTAATATAGTGTTGGAATATTTTAAATCAGCACTAGCCTAGAAACCCTAGGAATTTAGATTATTCTAAAGATATGATACCTGCCTAACAAGCTACTTAACTGAGCAACCACTCTTGGTTAATGTGTATTGAGTGCCTTCTAAAGCCAGGTGACTCACTAAATGCTGAGGAAACCAGCAAACAGAACAAGTCCCTGTCCTCATTGAACTATGGCAGATTAGACAAGTCAACACTATAATAAATGAATAACTAAAAAAATTTTTTAAGGAATACAACAGAGTCAAGAGAGAAAGGTGGAGTGAGTGGGTAGTGGTAGCGGGGAAAGAATCCCAGGAGCGTCCACTGGTGAAGTGACATTTGGGGTAAGATAAGGAAAAGTGGGCCCTAAGCAGGCATTCACATGCATTACCTCCCTGACCCACATACTTTGTATTATTGGCCCCATTTTTCGGATGAGGAGATGGAAGCACCAAGAGAGGAAGTGGCCTCCAAAGCCTTGAAAGTCATCACTGCCATACAGCCTTCTAGTGATCTTACCCTGCCCCTAAAACCAGTAACAGTGCCACCTTGCTTGTCCCCCAGCACCCGCGCCCCCTTGGGTTCCCCTCACCCACCTCTGACCTGGTGTGGAGTTCTATGCCCAGTGGCAGAATTTGGCCCCAGGTCAGGGAATTGGTTCATAGCGGGCCACAGAAAAATCAAAGGTGTGATCTGTGAGGGCTTGGGGACTCAGGAAACTTCATGGGGGAGCATGGGATCCAGATGGCCCAAAGGGCTATTGGGAGAACGCACCACACAAGCAAAGACTTAGGAACAGAAAGAATCACGCATGGCTACAGCTCAGAAAATCCGAGATGTGGAGTAAAAGGTTTTGCAGGAAGTCTTCAAAATCTGGTCGAGGGGCTGGAGCCTGTCTTGATGGGCAGCCAATTGGCTAGAGAGCAGCAGGGCTGAGCTGGGGCGGAAGGGAGGGCTCTGGAGACCAGGCCAGGAGCCACATGCTCTGACCCCATTGCAGCATCTCTTTCAGGTTTCTCTTGAGAATGTGCTTCTAAGTGTTCTGCTGATGAATGATGGGAAGTCAACCCAGCAGAGGAAAACCCCCGACAAATCTAAGCTCAAGCTTCTCAGTCCAAGCCCAAGGACACCAGCCGGTACAAGCAGGTAAGCCATGGGCAGGAGACAGCTAGCCCCTTCCCAGGCAAGACGGGCCCTTGGTGGGCCTTCCTTGACCAGCGCCTCCAGCACCTGAATCACGTATTGACTTGATGAGTTTCTGCAGCATCCTAGTGAGCCGGGGCCTCTGCTCTTGTGGTGCTTACACTTTAACAGAAAGAACATTACACAGATAAACTAGAGACCATAGGAGTGTGACAGGCACTAGCCTGCACATCAAACCACAAGTCTCCAGTTATTCAGAGACTTGTAACTCCCCAAACCTGGACGTCAAGTGAAATGCATTAAAATGAAATAAAATTCAGTACTTGGGTCTCACTAGCCATATTCTAGGTGCTCAGTAGCTGCACGCGGTTAGTGACTGAAATATGGGGCAGCAGAGAATTCTAGAACAGTTTCCTCCATGCAGAAAGTTCTGTTGGACAGTGATGCTCTAGTGTGTCCTCTTACCTAAGAAGTACTGTGAATTTTTTTTTTTTTTAACTTTTTTGTGTGACTTGAGGGAAGGTTTACAGACAAGATCATCAGATTTGCATTTAACATTACACATTGTTTTCTCTCAATGATTACAGTTCCCTCGATGTAACAACAGTTACTCTGCTTTCTCCATGTGGTTCCTATTTGCTTTCCACCCACCTTCCTAGTCCTTCTCAATTTTGTCCTTAGGCTCTATGTTGCCCTTGCATTTTGAATGATTGACCACTCTGTGGTGAGCATGCCTTGCTGGTGGTATTCCCCTCTATAGATCTCTCTACTGCTTGGCTGCAAATTGGGCGAGGGTGTTCTGTGAAAATCTTAAAGGAAAATTGTTTTTGTTAAGTGCTGTCAAGTCTATTTCAACTCATAGCGACGCTGTTTTTATGGTTTCCAAGACTTCAAATCTTTGCGAGAGCAGAAAGCCTCATCTTTCTCCCGCAGAGCAACTGTCAATTTCAAACTGTGGACCTTGTGGTTCACAGTCCAGTGCTGATGCTATAGAGACATGATGCTCCCAGAGCAAAATTGTTGTTAAGTGCCGTGCAGTCAGTTCCAACTCATAACTACCCTGTATTGGGTTTCTGAGGAGCGGCTGGTGGGTTTGAACCGCCATATTGTGGTTCAAATTGACCTTGCGGTCTAGTGTTTATCCTACAGTGCCACACCAGGCCTCCTAAATTGGAAAAAAGTAACACATAACATGCCTATACTAAACCTCTAACTATGATTTTCCAAGAGTCCCAACTGAAAGTCCTCAGTTTTTAGGACAACAGGACCATCTAAACATTCTGCAAAAGTTTACTGTTCGATGTCAAATTTTTGTTCCCCCTAGTGGTCCACAAATCTTTCTCAAATTGCTCCTGATTTGGGGTTTGGATGATAAAATCACCCTCAGCCAATCAGCACTTTGAGGGATGTGGACGACAAACAGGAGACTGAAGAACCAAGATAACTTCCATGTTTGGGCAGGAACTGGCCCTAGTCCAAAAATCTCCCTTACAAAGATAGGGGCCATTCCCGGTTTTTAGCCAGTACCCAGCTCCCAATAGGAGCCTCCCAGACACCCCACAGGCATCACACCCTGCTGATAGAGGCAGTGGTCTCCGTTTAGCACCCAATTTGCAGAGAGAGCTGGGGCTAAGGAGGCCCCACAGGAAGAGACCTGGAAACCACACTCCATCTTAGTTTCCTCTGAATCTAGCCAGGGCAGCCAGGGCAGCTGAGGGTGATGGGCCAGCCCTCCTTGCATGTGGGACTTGAGGGCAGCTGCTCTCTCTCTTCTTGGAAAGGGTGAGTGAGCCTCTTTCTGTCTGTTTCACTGCCTGGTCCCTGGCCAGCCTCCCTCCAAGAGTCATTTGTCCATCTACCATGTACCCATCTGAAATCTCCCAAGGCTTACCATGTGTCAGGCCTTACTCCAGGACCTGGGGACAGAGCAGTGGACAAGACAGGTACAGTCCTTGTTCTCAGGGACAATCAAGACGCAGGTGCTTTGATTAATTACAACCCGGTTAAATTTTGGTGATGGTATATTTTAAGTATTGACTCCTGGTATGGCACTATAGGATAAGCACTGGACTGTGAACCACAAGGTCAGTGGTTCAAACCCATCAGCTGCTCCTTGGAAACCCTATACAGGGTCACTATGAGTCAGAACTGACTTGACGGCACTTAACAACAACTGAGAGTATGTGACAAGGGGCCTAGTCAGGGGAAGGCTTCCTGGAGGAAGGGATATTTCTGCTAAGAAGTGAAGGATAAAGGTAAATCAGCTGGACAGTGGGGATCTATCAGGGGACAGTGTGTACAGGGGTGTAGGGTCAGGGCTCTCCAGGAGGGGATGGGGCCCTAGTTCCATCTGCTTTTGTCAGAGAACCATGCCCAGACACCTGTTTGCACTGTTGATTCCAACATCAGATATCTCCTGGGGTTAGCCAGGCTCTGTTTAAAGTAAAATTAAAGCTGTAAAGACAAATCAGGAGAGAGACCCCTGGGCTCTGAGAGACCCAGACTGGAGTCACTGTGGAATCCCCATGTGAGTCTGGCCGAATGTGGAGGAGCCTGTCCATTTCCAGAGTCACAGTCTCACTCTTCCCATCAAGACAAAGAGCCATGAGGGCCAGGGCAGCCTCTGCCTTCCTGGGCCCAGCCCCACTGAGAGGATAGTGCAGAGACCTGCAGGGAACAGCATCAGAGAGAGATCAACTTTTTATTTTCCCCCTTTAAACTTTTTATTGTGAATTGAGTGAAGGTTTACAGAGCAGATCATCAGTTTTGCATTCAACAAATTTGAGACCAATCAACTTTTCTTGCTGATGTTGACTGCTTTTCATAGTTCAGTGTCCAAGCACACTTCCAAACACTCATGGAAAAAGTCCATCATCTTTTCATGCCATTTCTCCATGGACTTTTTTGAAGCCCCCTCATATTCATGTGCTACCAAGTCTCTTCTTTCTCTTTATTATGAAAGCCTTACTGTAATAGGATAAGGAGCCTACCCTATCCCAGAGGACAGGGTTTGGGTGAGGTCCCTTCCAGCAGCCCATCCGGGGCAGGTTTTTCAGGCCTAGGGAGGTCCTGTTAGACTGGACAAGCTGACCTGAGGTAGGCGAGGGAATGTCCTGTATTGAGAGCCACTTGCTGTCTGCTGCTCAGCCCCTAAGTCTTCACCACATCCTCAGGCTCATTCTTCCTGTGACTGGGAGCTTGAGAAGTTATGCCTGGTCCCCTCTGACCCAGGGCAGCCACTTCCTCTCTCCACACCTTAACCTCCCAGGGAGGAGGCAAGGCTGTGGCCCCTGAGCAGATCCTCAAGGGCAGACCTGGGAGGGGTGAGGGGAAGGTGATGGCTGAGCTTTGCAAGGTCAGCAGACAGAAGGAACAGACTGACTGGACCTCCTGAGATGTGCTTGCTGCTGCCCAGTTCAAGTTCCCTCCAGCCCTGGGCCAGTGAGCAGCACCCACAGTGCCCCATGGGAGGAGACAGAGACGGGGTGGTGTGTGCCCCTGTTGGAGCTTCTGTCACTTCACTGTACAATGACCTGACCTCAGAGGGGGCTGTGAGGATTGAGTAACGTGATGCAAAAAGCATCCAGTCAGGGCAGGTGCTCAGTGAGTGATGGCAGCCTGGATGGTCAGGACACTGGGCTGAGCCACACACACCTGGCCACTTGCTCTGTGCCAGGCCTGACACAGTGTGCCCAAGAGCGAAACCTCTTCTCAGTGGGCAGCACAGACCTACACCTGCTGTTCTGGATAAGGGCCAGAGGATAGGGATGATGCTGCCAGAGAGAACCACTCTGCCCACATACACTGCACTCCCGTTATAGTCCCATGTGGCTTCAGGGCCCTTCCAGCAGCCTCCAGAGGAAGGGATTTAAACCCCACAGGAAACCAAGGGCCAGATCCCCCTTTGCTAGCACCCCCATGTTCACTGCTTGAAAACACCTCCCCCCCGCCCAGGCACCCATATGATTTGAAACACTGGCCCCAGCTACAGGCCTTCTCTGAGCTTCCCCTTCCCCACCTTCACAGCTCGTCCAGCCAGGGAACATTCCATCAGACCTTCCAGAAATTGAACTGGCTGGTTAGCAGCTGAGCCTGCTTAGAGCTGCAGGCTTCAAGTTTTTCTTAGCAGTACAAACCCTTTATGAAAATCTTCTGTAAAGAACTGTATTTAGAAGGGACTTGTAGCCAGGAGCCCCACCCCTCTTACCACATACCCACCCTCTTCCTAAGGTGGCCCCCAAACCCATCTGAGCACCTCCAAGGTTGTGCAGAGCCACAATGGAAAGGCTTCAGAGTCCAGGCTTGCTCTCCAGTAAGCAGATGGGCCTCCTTGTTTGTGCCTGTGGGAAGACTTCTGGAAGGAAGGCTGGCAAAAGGGTGACCATCTCTATCCCTTCATCCAGAGAGGAGCAAAGCTACAGCTGTGGCCCTGGGCAGTTTCCCGGTGGGTGAGCAGGCAGAGCTGTCACTGAGGCTGGGGGAGCCGTTGACCATCATCTCTGAGTAAGTTCTTCTGGGGGTGCTGCTTAGGGCAGGATGCCTGGCTGCCTGTCCTCCTCCCTCTCTCCCTCCCTTCAGATACCTGAAGACGAGCTAGTGGGAGACGAGCTAGTGGGAGCTGGGAGAAGGGTCTCTTCCCTCCTAGGGAGAAAAGAGCAAGACCTTTGTAGCCAAGCTCACAGGTAGTGCTAATTGTGAGATTTCAGCAGTGACACACCTGCAGGGAGAAGTGGTGGTGGAGAAGGCCTAGGAGGGGAACGTCACCTTGCCCGGAGGAATGGGCAGCTCAGGTGGTACAGTTCTCCAGGGCCCCCCTCTCCTTTCTCTCTCCAGGGATGGAGACTGGTGGACAGTGCTGTCAGAAGTCTCCAGCAGAGAGTACAGCATCCCCAGCATCCACGTAGCCAAGGTTTCCCATGGGTGAGTTCCTGCCCAGGCCCTGCCTGTACCTCCCGCAGCATTCTCCCTTCTGCCCAGCCCTCTGCTGAGGGCTCAGAGGGGAATCAGACTTGGGAGCCCAGGGGAGGAGGCTCAGGAAGGCCTCACAGAGGTGTGGTGGTGTGGGTTTGGAGTGTGGCCAGGAGTCTTGTAGTGAAAGAATAAGACAAGGGACATGCAAGAGACAGAAAAGCATCATAAATGTCATGAGGCAAGAAAATGGAAGGGCAGTGCTGGAAAGGTGAGGCCGTGTGAATCAAATGGGGGAGCTGGGAGACTGGGCTTTGACAGGAGACACTGGGATCACCTTACCAGCCTCCTAATGTGATTGAGAATGAGAATCCAGGCAGACAAAGTTAGGGCTGACCCCATGAGGTTTCCTCCCAGGTCCCAGGAGGGGCCCTCAGAGATCCTAAGGCAGCCCTTCACGATATGGATAAAGGCCCAGAGAAGTCAGGGTCTTGCCAGGGTCACATGAAGCAGGTGGTGGTCCCAGTGCTCCTTTGGTGGACTTCAGCAGTCTTGTCCACCTCACCAAGGCTAACCCCTGCTCCCTCCAGGTGGCTGTATGAGGGCCTGAGCCGGGAGAAAGCGGAGGAGCTGCTGCTGCTGCCTGGGAACCTGGGAGGGGCCTTCCTTATCCGGGAGAGCCAGAGCCGGAGAGGTGGGTGAGCTTAACCCTGGCCCATACCCTCCCTCTGTGGGGAATAAACTCTGCCTAACTTGTCAGTCATCCCTTTAGCCAACAGTGGTTTCCCCCTGACTAACCCTGTATGGGGCCATCCAGGCCCCAGTAATGACCCAACACTGACAAAGTGTTGAGTGCTGAGAGCAGAGCAGGAAGACTGAGGTGAAACTTACAGGTGTTCTCCTTACAAAAGCCCAGGCTGTGAAGGCCTGGCATTTCACATGTGAATGCAGTGAAGGGCAGGAGGCCTGGGGAAGCAGGCCAGGCAGCTTGGTCACTCCCCTGAAGGTAGAGGGCGCTGTTGTTCATCGAGCGCTGTGTGTTGTGGGGAAAATGAGTTCAATGGACCACTTATTCTGAGATACAAGGGATGTGAAGGTCATTTTGGAAGATGCTGAAAATCATAGAGAGAATTTAACCATTAACAGTGTAACCATTAATAAAGCATGTTAGATCAGGACTGCCCAGGGCTTTGACTTGGCCTAATTGGGCATTTCCCAAACACTCAATGAGCCCAGGAACTTTTCATCATGCAGTACTTGGTAATATTCACTTTATATTCATCCAGTCAACAAATACTTGTCAGATACCCACTATGTGGGGAGGCCTTGGGCATCACTGGTGAGTGAGGTAGGCATGGCCCTTGGTCACACTTTGGAAAACAGTTTGAAATTTGCACTGATGTCAGGCTTGTCCCTCGAATGCCACAAGCCAACTATGATGTGACTTGGGGGTTGGAGCAGGAGATCACATGTGAAGGATCAGGGCACCTGGTTGTCTGCCCGTCCCATTGAGTGTATGAGAGCCCATCAGCAATGTAGTGACCTGCATTTCTCAAAATGGGTGTGAATGTCCCATAGTTTGCTTTTCAGAGCAGGGATCCAAGCTCAGTCAACATTTTGACAATTGGAACTTGTAATGGAATATAGTTAAGGGTTTCCTATTGACCAGCCATGGTTCCTTCTCCCTCCCTGAGACACACAGGATCCTAGATCACATGGCAAAAAAAGAGGAGATGTTAACAGTGTCTCTAGGCTTTGGGTCAGACAGTCAGAAAGTCAGCTCATGCATGGGTCTGCCTCTCTCCACTGTCCAGAGTAGGAAACAGAGGCCCAAAGAGAGGTAGGGACGTGTCTCAGTGAACTTCTCCAGGTTCCAGACCTTGGCAAACAAAATGCTGAGTTGAGAGTTGATGGTCTGGGCTGCCCTATGGGCCTCTGGGCTGCTAGCCCTTGAGACAGGAGTAGAGAGGGAAGTGGAAGGAACAGCAAGAAGTCACCTAGGTTTGCGTCCAGCCCTTCATATACCTTGAAACAACTCTGTGGGAATTGCACTCCATTTTACAGATGAGGAGACTGAAGCTTAGGAGAAACATTTGCCTGAGGATTCAAAGCTTACCAAGGTCCGTCTCACACCAGATGCCTAAAAAAGCCCTTGTGTGACAAGCACAGTGAGGCTGAATCCACTTTCATTGAGTATTTCTGACTCAGGGTTTCTGAGTCTAAGTATTCATGGGAACAGACAGCCTCATCCTTTCTCCAGCAGAAAGGCTGGTGGGTTTGAACTACTGCTTACCCTATGGCTGTTGAGTTGGTTCCGACTCGGTGATCCTGTATAGGGTTTCCAAGGAGCAGCTTGTGAGCTTGAACCGCTGACCTTGCAGTCCAGCGCATTAGCCCCTCAGCACCACACTAGGGAAGAGAACTATTTGGGAAGGAGGATACGCTTCCTAGTGCCTTACTTGAACCTACTGTGATAGGCTCATAGGGTCTTTGTTCTCTGGCTCAGTGTCCCTCTTGGACTCCCTCCAGCCAATCTTTGCCTCTCTTCCCCTTCCCTTGGGAGCTGTCCAGCTGACCTCTCCCCAATCCCTCCTGTTGTTTTTTTAGGTGATGTCAGCTCCAGCACCCTCAATGGCTTCTGTGGAGGACTGGCCCTAGTACAGCTGAAACAGGAAGCCACAGTGGGGTGCTGGCTGACGCAGGGGTGCAGCAGGCTGAGCTGGGCGCTCGAGGCCCCAGTGAGCTCGTGAAGCCACAGGAAGCATGACCCTGCTCACGTCCACTCCTTCTCTGGCGTGGTTGAGCCTCAAGAATATAGCGACAACCTCTTATTGCCACTCTGCCCCTTTCTTAAAAAGGTGCTCATTACAGAAGGAAACTGAGAAAAAGAAGAAAAACAGGATGCATAATGATCTCTAAATTCCTGGGATTCAGGTTAAATTGGACTCTAAGCTTTTCTGTTGTTAAATTCCATCAAGTTAGTTCTGACTCATAGGGAGTGGCTGATGGGTTTGAATCACTGAACTTTCGGTTTGCAGTGCTGTGCTTACCCTATAGCACCACACCAGGATCCCAAGCTTCCCTGTAGCAAACTTCGAAAGGGGAATAGATTAGAATGCAGCTCTCATCTAAAAAGGAAGAAATTAATTCACCAATTCTTCAGGAAAGACTAACTTCTAATCTTTTGTTTGGGGTTTCTTTAGGGGGCAGTATTGTTTACACTGCAGGTCAGAGCCCACTTATGATATGGGTCAAGAAGTCACATTAGCTCCGTAGCTCTCAACCTTGAGCCTGCATCAGAATCACCTGCCCTCAAAACAAACCCCGCTGCCAGTCGTGTGGAATCAGCAGCAGCGCTCCTTACACACAGATGACTGGTCTCATCCCCAGAGCTTGGTGCAGTGGCTTGAGAGATTTTCATTTCTAAGAAGCCTCAGGGGATGCGGCTTCTCCAGGAAGCACACTTCTAGAACCACTGATCTGGCCCTTGGCTGTACGTTGGAATCACCTGGGGAGGTTTTTAAAATAAAATACTGCCGCCCAGTTTCCATCCTCAGAGTTTCTATTTTATCGGTCAGAGGTGTGACCTGGGCACTGGAATTTGTAAAGCCCCCAGGTGCTTCTGATGTGCATCCAGGGTGAGGTTGAGTGGGGCTAGACATGTTTATAATGAAGACGAGCAGAAAACATCAGAGGGTGTCAGGTAGGGATATTTTTAAGTACGTGGGTCCTGAGTCACAATGCAAAATTTCATACTTTGGTTTGTGGTTTAAAAAAAAAAAAAAAGGAAAAGGAATAGCAGTACTCTTGAGGCCTGAGTGATATCACAGAGGGTGAGTCTCAGACTGCAGTGAGGGGGATCCTCCTGGGATCCACCCCACACCTACTGGGTTAGCTACTCTTCAGAAATCATGTCAGTCCTTTTAACTTTGTCTATGGCTGAGAATACAGTTTATCTTGAATGTTCCATGTATACTTAAAATGTGTATTGTTCTGTCAGATCAAACTAGTTGATGGTAATTAAGATGACAGAAAATCCCTATTGAAAATTGGATATATACAAAATAAGGATTGTTTTGTTACCTTGGTGTTACTGTGAAATGTCTCTCTGTATCTAAATACTCATGGGCTTGAGTATTAGCTTCCCTGTGGTTACTAACTGAAATGTTGCCAGTTTAAACCTACCAGCCACTCAGTGGGAGAAAGATGTGGCCGACTGTTGCAGGAGATGAGATTCTACCCTTAAAACTCTGCCCTACAGGGTCACTGGAGTCGGGATCAACTTCAGAGCAACAAGTTTGCTTTTGAATTTATGATTAATGCTTGCATGAGATCTTTTCACATCTTTTTACTTTTAACCTGTGTTTTAATAAGTGTGTTTATTATAGGTTGTTACAGGTTTGATAATCTCTGCATTTTATCTTTGAGCACGTAAATACTGTCTCAAAGTAAATGCTTTCTAAAATTGTGTAGTGCTTGTGGTCTAGGAAATTCGCTCCTGCCTTTTGTTAGTTTTTCGCAGAGAAAAAGTTAAAATGACAGGGTCATTGCCTCTTGCAGGTTCTCTGTAAAATGAGGAGGAGGTTGTTGTTAAATGCCATCGAGTCAATTCCGACTCATAGTGACCCTGTTATAGGGTTAACAAGGAGCCAGTTGATGGGTTTGAACTGCTGACCTTGTGGTTTGCAGTGCAATACTTATCCTACAGCACCACATCAGGACTCTGAAATGAGGATAGGAGTACACATTCACAGGGTGGTTATGAAAATGAAATGAGATTGTCCATAGAGAGCACTTATAGTAAGCATTCAGTAAATGAAAGTGTCAATGGCTATACCATTAGATAATAGTAATATTACTATTGATAGTAATACTCTTGTGGTGCAGTTGGATAAGCACTGGACTGGTAACTGCAAGGTCAGCAGTTCAAACCCACAGTATGCTCTGGGAAACCGTATACAGGGTTACTGGACAGAGTTCTGACTCGATGGCACACACAAGAAAAAGTAACACTACTAACATTAGGTGCTGTCAAGTCGGTTCTGACTCACAGTGACCCTGTGTAGGGTTTCCAAGGCTACTGTACATCTTTGTGGGAGCAGAAAGCCTCACCTTTCTCCCATGGAGCAGGTGGTGGGCTCTAACCACCAACCTGTTGTTCACAGTCTATTGCTTATCATACAGAGATTTCATAGTAATATTAGCGTGATGTTGTTAGATGTCATCAAATGGGTTACGTGTATTAATAATTATTAGCAATAGTATTTGTTGTTGTTGTTATGTGCCGTGGAGTCTGTTCCGACTCATAGCGACCCTGAACTGGGTTTCCGATGCTGTAAGTCTTTACAGGAGCAGAGAGCCTCATCTTTCTCTCATGGAACAGCTGGTAGTTTCGAACTGCTGACCTTGCAGTGCACAGCCCGATTCGTAACCACTACGCTACCAGAGCTCCTTAGCGATAGTATTAGTACAAGTTAAAATTTGGTTATCTTCTACTTCCACTTTCGCATGAACTTTTTGAAGCCCCCAGTAATGTGGATACTATTGTTATTAAGTACTGTTACCAGTAGCATTACTAGTATCCCACTTGGCAATTGCTTCTCATGGACTGTTACCAAATGTTGACTTAAAATGTATTTCTTTCTTTCTTTCTTTTTATTATTATGTGCATTGTTCTAACCAGGTTTCATCCAG